ACACACACACACACACACACACACACACACACACACACACACACACAGTTATATAAGGCCTCCATCAGTTGAATCATACTAATTTGTCCTCCAGAAGTCAGTTACATATTAAGTTTAAATACTGACTAAAGCAAAAAGCAGTTTTAAAATAAAAAGCCACCAATATGATATCTTCTCCGAACACAATTTCATTCTCAAACGTGAACAAGCATTATTCCTGCTGTGCCTTGCTGGCAAATCTCAGCAAGTTAGAGTTTGCCATTCTGCATAATCACAGTGGAGCTTAGTATTTGAGCGCTCCACGTCTGTAACGCACCGAGTTGTGTCCGAGAGTGAATTCAAGCTTTTGAGTTTCCCTTTACACACATCTGTCTTCTGCTGTAAACCCACAATGCATTTCAGAATGTTCACATGAAGACTAAAGGTGAAAGTAAACACAAATTAATAACAGACATCCCGAGCACGCGAATGCAGCATATGAGGCCACCTTTTCACATCTCCTCAAGATCTTTATGGAGCAGTGCATTGGTGCAGTATGACATCACAGATATGAGGAACAAAACAGTTTTCTATTGTTTCTGGCTACAGGAGCCAGATGTGGATATTTACTTACAGAACTAAATGGTCTACCATAGACTTGAATGGTTTTCTCCTTTAGGGGAAAAGGACTTTTTTTTAAATTCACTTTTTAAACTTTTTCTTCCTACTACCTCTTTGTTTGCAGTTCATCTTGCATTTATTTTTTTCTACCATGGATTGCATATTGCAAGCCAACTTGCAAAAATCTCATCACTATGTTGTTTATGAGGAGGAAAAAAACACAAACACGGTAACGCCCCGAGGGCAAACAAGTGTCGACTAGACCCAGTCTGACACATTGTGAAAACACATTTATCATTCATCTATAATCCTTCCTCGGTTAATCAAATGATTACCCCATACCACGAGAATTTAGAGTTTGGCGCTTAATTGCTAGTTTAGGTTTCTGTTGGCTCAGGTGCTGCATACTCTGCATGCTTACCTTCACAACTGTTACGCAGTCTGTGTGTGAAAGGGAACAGCACGTCTTTAAAACACCATTGATTAAGCTGTTAAGGCTTGATGAATATGAGCAGTCTCGCCACAAAACAAGTCAAAACACCTTTTTAAGTCTGTGTGGGGGTTGTTGGGATTTAACTCAGTTGTTGAGTAATTGCTGCGTAATCTTGTATTTACAGGGAGGTGATCATTTACCGTGGAGATGAAAGTGGTCTTACACCGATGAAGGTTTTATAAAAACAGTTCACTGTGCAACACAGGGATCTTCATCATCCTTGGCTTAATCAGTCCAGCCTTGAGATGTGTAAATAATCATGTGTCAGGAAAAGACCGATCCAAAGGGAAGGTTCAGGACTTTTAGAAACCTGTCGTCTGGATCGTTAATCTACCTTTCTATTTCAAAACACATTCAGGACATTTTCATTTGCAGTATTGTTGTTTTACTAATAAAAAAAGAAAATTAAAATCAACAGATTCAACATTCAGCAATGCAGCACGACACCATGGGGTGAAATGACTACAAATACCCTTTTCATTCCTTATAACTACCACTTCATATCCGGGAAGCAAATGGGACTCCTTCCATCAACTTCACAGAGACTGTACACCATTCTCTAATCATAACCACCACCAGCATTTTTAATAAATGGAGGCTGACATTATGAGAAGCAGAAAATGCTTCCTTAAAAAGTTTTGAACGTCTAAATATAGACACAAGTCAATAGAATAACTGCGTAAAAAAAGCCTCTAAAACTGAACTAACAAAGTGATTTATCGTACTGGAGTTTGAAACCAATCCAGCAATGGTTGTGCAATCATTTTAGGCATGTATTCACATTAAAATGTATTCAGAATAAAAGGCATTTAAATAGTTCATAGAGACTCTCAAAGGCACACATAATTGTTCCGTTAAATTGCAATGTTTTACAAACATATAAAAAGCAGCTGCTAAACATTTGGCCCCTCTTCTGCTGTGAGACACGGGTGTTACTCTGCGTTGTGCGTTTATGGGGCTGCTGTGGCATGGACACTTAGTAGGCTTCGTTTTGACACGAAGGTGAAATGAAGGTGTCAAGGGTCATATCAGCTGCCCAGCTCAAAGTCTGTCTCATCACAGAGGTCAGGACAAGAGGAATATTTCAGTCGGGAGAACTTCAGACAGAGGTTGTCTCCCACCTCGTTCATATGGTGCAGCACCTGAGGACAAGAGGAACAGTCTCAGATTGTGTGTTATGTTTGATTCAGGGGAAGAATTGAGCTTTTAAAGCCTTAGAGAGCAACGTCATGCTGGTGAATGTGTGCGTACCTGGTTCAGCATGGCTCTGGTGTGCGTTGCAGACAGACAGAAGCGAGCTCGGGCCTCTGTAATCGGCGTCGCTGGAAAGCCGACGACCACTACGGCAATTTTCCTCTCCAGCATTTCTCGAGCAAAAGCCCTGGTCAAAAATTCAAAAGAGAAAATATCACTTTATTTACAGTATATTGTCATTAACAAATGGCTGTAAGGACTAAAAGTAAATCACACCCAAAGTGAACGTTTTGGTCGTTTACAAGGTTTTGAGTGAGACCATCTCTGCATCAAGGAAATCTCTATTAATTGGACATCAATTGTTGCCTTGCTAATACAAAACGTATCCTACATTTCTGCCATTTTAAGGTTAGAAGTCTGAAGACCCCACACACCACCTCAGAATGAGGAAGTCTCATCACATTGAAAGTCATAAGGAATGCTTCTTCAAGCCCCTCCAAATCCTCAATTATGTAGTTGGGATGTGTGGCATCGTTAAATTAAAAAGAACACATAACTAACAATTTTGGCTAGGGCTAGAATCAGCATATCTCTGATGACTTCTACTTTAATACGTCCGATCAGCGAATACCTCTTAATTTTGTGGCAAAGAGAACAGTTTGGAGAATTCAAACCATACAATGTGCTTGAAAACGGTTAAGTGAATCCGACGCCGCCAACGTTGACAGTCTTGTATATTTTAGATGATGTGGGTGTGCAGAGCAGCGCTATGTACAGATGGTCGTGCAGAACCTCAATCTAACACCAGCACATTTAAGATCAATTATATTTAATAAGGACAGTGGTAAATGGCCAGAAGTAGATTTGATACACAGTAGTAGCTACAGATACATTACTTTCATACAGTGGTTATGAAATACCTAAGAAATGCACTTCAGACAGTTGGAAAACTGTCTGAAGTGCATTCAAAAAATAATACTGGTTAAAATGTACTTTTCTTTCCATCATCATTAATGCCCATGGAAATTGTGCACTGCAAAACCAGAAGCTGCTGATTATGGCAAATGACTGGGTGGGATTGGTCTTTTCATGGATATTAGTGGTGACTGGCATTGAAAGACACTTCATACCCAATTGATTATACCTGAGAGGCTCAAAGAATCCTGGGTTGTACCGAATCAATACCTGATGTTTCCTCTAAAGTGGTTACAGTGAGCCAGTCTACACACACACGGTCTACACCACGGATTCATCTGGAGTGTGCATCACGGCAGCCATTCAAACCACTCAGAGAAATTGATTGTGACGACGAGGGATAGTAAAGGTGATACTTATTGTTCCATAATTAGTCTATGCTCAATGAACACCCCGATAGTCTTGCTCTTTGAAAGAGGCAGGTGTTTTTTGGTGAGCGTTTAAGTGTACTTACACCACTTTGCCGGGCATGTAGAGCAGGATTGGAACCACAGGTGAGTCATCATTGCCGTAGATGATGAAGCCCATCTCCTTCAGCTTGGCCCTGAAGTATCTGGTGTTCTCCGCCAGTTGGCGGATCCGCCTAATGCCTACAATTAAAACGAGTACACCACCAGATAAGCATGAGTAAAACACCAACTCGCTGCTTTTCTTCAATGCATATTTCCCCTGTCCTCTGCAGGGAGGGACACCACTTGTCAGTAGCAGCTAATGTAGTGTGAGATCTCTGCAGTGCCATCTCATCCTGAGTCCTGCACCTCCATCTGGGCCATTCCAGCCCACCCTACGAACTTGCTCATGATTACAACTCAGCTGCGGCAGCAGATGGTTCAGTTTTGTCCGCCTGACGGCATGGTGTACGCACTTGCACGCTGCCAAAATGAGGGCTTGCAAATTGGACACGATGGATTTCGCACAAAATGAGCGACTGTGGACTGCCGCTGGAGTGCAGCCATGACTGAAACGCAATACATATAATACTAAAGTACCACCTATATTTCAGATAAATGTATTAGAGAACAAATGAAAGACAGCAGAGGCGGCCGGCCCTGCTAACCCCCTGTGTTTCCAAATGATGTGAATCACTGGGGAGCCTGGTGCTCCGTGGCTGAAGCAGAGTCTTGGCTCGGCTCAGCCTTGGAACACAGCTTTGTTTCCCTCCGATTACCTGGTAAAATATTGGCAGTTCTTTCATGGGAATGTAAGAGAGCACTTTACATCCCCATATCTCAGCGGAGAAAGAGAGGGAGGGAAAAACACAACATTCAGGCACCCGCCTTAAAAGCACAGGCCCTATTTTATAAATTGGTCCTCTCTGCTAAGATAGAGGGCAAGAAGGTCAAAACCCTGCTGCCAGACTCTGAAATCATTTGAGTAGGTGAGAACGTGCGGAAATAGCAGTGTGTGTCAGGGCTTTTCCCTGTTTCAGAGCTCCAGTTGGCTTTAAAGTGCGAAATTCAACATCAACGAGAAAGATGGGGGGCGGGGGGAGGTATAAAAATGTATAGGGCATATAAAGAGTATGAGACGTTTCTTGTCACAGTGGGCTTTTATAGTGTTGTGATGGATGTTGGAGCCGACGTTTTATAAGACTGCACTGTCTGCTGTGTTCCCTGCCCTCTCAAAGACAGGTCAAGACTCATTTTTCCACAACAGGTATTTCGCTGGGCTGCGTCAGATGCAAAGCATGTCTGGTTCAGAGCCAGATGAGAAAGTTACACATCTCCGCATGAAACTGCGATACACCTCAGCCGTGAGACGCCAGGCTCTAATCTTTGGAGCGATCAACCCATTTCAGGACCCTACGGCAGACATGTTGTGTATTTTTTGTCTTACGGAGCACACTTTAAGGCGAATCAGGCGTTGCGGCGATTATCTCAGGGTTGCGCGGCAGTTTGGCTCATTCAAATTAAGCGACTGCACAACGATTAGCGTCTTTTTTCACTCGTGGCAGGGCTGTACAGCTCTGGATTGTTGGTTATGTGATTTGCCACCGCGGCATGATGTAGAGTTACGTGTCTCCAAAAGTTGATTCTGTTTAAACTGTTTGCCCCTTATAGTCCCTATCGCTGTAGGTTAAACGCACTACGACTGGAGTTCTTTTTACTGCAACACCTGTCCTAAGTTCTGTAGATCTGTACTTACCACTACTATCTCAACCATTACATACACTAACTCTATTCCCACTACTTCTCCTTCTATTACAACTACTACCAGAAGTACAACTACAATAACTCATTGCTCTGGTAGTATTGCAACTGGTCTGGTAATGACTACTCCCCTGCCCTAATGTCTGATGCCATGTAAGCAGAAACTTTTCAGAGGTACAGTGTTCCTCACAACACACACATGAAAATGATTTCCTCCACGTTAGGGTCACGTGTGCTCAGGGACTGATGCATGCCCCCCCCTCTTTCTACCACTACAGACCCCCGTAATTGCTACCACGTTCTCTGGCCAAGCAGCTGTTTGTCTTTCCCTGCAGGTCTGGACTTACTCCTAATGCTAACATTGGTACCGTCCTCTGGATTTGGTTTGCTATTGTTTCCATTAAAATTATATTAAAAGGTGTAAAACATTTTATAAGCCAGACATAATATTTATCCTTGTAAAGAACATCATGTTTGACGAGCATGTGGATCATAAGACTGAAATTCAGGGGGACGTTTCACTGGGGGAGAGTGGCAATGAGCTCACACGCTCGCTCACCTTCTGTGCTCCCGTCTTTTCCCATGATGCACTTCATGGCGCGTATGATCTGCTCAGCGACAGGAGGGGACATGGCCGAGGCGTATACGGCACTGTGAGAATGACTGCGCAGGTAGTCCACCAGGTCCTGCAACACGGGACACAGTGACACACAGAAAATCAGCAGAGATACTAGATGTTCACAATACATTTAGAAAACAATGTGTTTATGTGTTCACTGACATAAACGGTTCATTTCAGATCTTCAATGTGACAGAAGTTTGGCCAAGAGATTCATTCTGCAAGTGGTTTGTCAAGAGAAGAGCAGTGTTTCAGGAAACCGATTCGGTCATGGGTCCCAGGAGCACGAGAGTGTAAGTGGTCTGAGGTTGGAAGCGGGGCCCGGAGCTGTGACGGGGTGTTGCTCAGTGGCTGCGCGGTGGCCAGTGGGTGCGGGGTGATGACACGTAGCCAGAGATGCTGTCTGGCCACTATTTCCACTCACAGCCATCTGTCCCCACTGGGCTGAGGCTGCGGCTTCCTCACACACACAAATGAGGGGAGGGGATTTTAGGGGAAATGCTCAAACGTAGGATAAGAACCCTGAAACAACCTGACATCTGTTTTCGTTTAAGGCAGGGGATTTTGACCGCTTTAGGGCCCTCGCAGGATTTCACTGTGACCAAGATAAACCAGTTAAGGGAACACGTCCGAAATCCATCTCATGTCTGCGGCGTGGACTGACAGCTCAGAGTGTTTCCTCAGCCACAAGGTGGCCGCAATACCGATGTGGTGATACATGTCCACAGTGCCACGGACTAGGAGTGGTGCCAGAACAGGGTACACACTTCAACGGATGTATTTAATAGCCTAATCTCACTGCAATCCAAGTTTTGAGTAAAGGGTTGATGAATAAAAGCTTCCTATGTGCAAGGTTGAAGTGAATTAGAAGGAGCTTGGAGTGTATTTATTGGGATATTTATTTTTGGTCCTCTCATAAAATAGCTATAACATGACTGTTTTCCTGAACACATCTGCAGAGTCTTTTGTCGGTCAACCCGTATCCACTTATTGTAGGATTTGGGGGATTTCACCGCAACAACAAATACGTCAAATCTAAAGGCTTTCTCTCTCTTTTCCTGCCGGTTTCTTTTTTTCAGGACTTTACTACAGCCAGCTGTCAAACCAGGCGGAGTGTTCTTACTTCAAACATTATCATGCTTGTTAAAAGGCATCCTGTTAAATCTGGAGCGCAGTTCCGGCGCCCGCCACAAGAAGGGGCTGGCCCTCTGCCAGCTTTACCTTCTTATTATGGCAGAGCAGGGCTGAGCCAACATACGGCGACAGAATACCTAATTCAAGCAGCATGGCTGTTTCCTCTGTTGCTTTCTAATCAACTGCCATGTTGATTAGTATGTACTAAAGTGCACTTTTTAATGGAGTAAAAAGGAATTACAAAGGCCCGGAGCCACAGCCTGGGGAACATTTGTTGGACACGTGCGAGCTCCGATGGAGGCAGGGTGTGATGGAGCGTGTATGGTTGAAATCAGACCTGGGTAAAAACATATTGGAAAATACTTTGTGGGGTGTGTTTTCACCTGCCATGGAGCCATATGGGGTAATGCAGTCACTGTGTTCAGTTAGTTGCCAGGTTGTTTAAACAATGTCAGGAAAGTATCAGAAATTCATCTCAGTTATTTGATTTTATAAGAATGGCATTTTACTTAAGGCTGTCGAAATTTTTTCGGTGTGATTTATCCCACCTACACGCTGTATATTTTGAAATGTATCTTGACCCTGTTTGGGTCCAGGAGGATTATTTTTGCTTAGCAACCAGACTAGTTTCTATCTTAACTTATTTTTGTCTTCTATTTTATTGTACATGTGTCTTTTTATATTGCTTTATGTTTTCCTTCACTCTACACTGCCAGATATCTAATGAAACCTGAAAGCGTTGGTAGGCCTACCGTTATAATAAATGTGTGGAAGAAATTAGTATTGAGTGAAATTCTATGAACATCATGTATAAAACGATTAAAAAAGAAAGAAAATTGCATTCATAATAAATAAACAGTGATATAAATATACTGTGGACTACAAACAATAACATGAAAGCTGAAAAAGCCAAAACAGAAGAGCTAAAACTTCACAGTTACCTTTTTCCCTGCGATGTAGCCTCCAGCAGCCCCAAAGCTCTTGGTGAAGGTGCCCATCATCACGTCCACATCAGCTGGGTTCACATTGAACAGCTCGGTCACCCCCCTCCCTGATGGTCCCACTGCTCCGATACTGTGGGCCTCGTCCAGGTACAGATATGCTTTATACTTCTTCTTCAGAGCGATGATCTCAGGAAGTCGCAACACTGAGCCCTCCATGCTAATCACAGGACAATCACACAAGCAAAGCACATGGTTACAAAAGGAACAACATGTGCACATTTCATCAATTATAAACCACACTCCAAAAGGGATTGGGTTTTAAAAAGGAAACGAATCTGACCCCGGCCTCACTTTATCCACTGCAGAGCATCTGTACATCTGTAAATGCATATTACATAATTTGAGATTCTTCCAAGCATCTTCCTGCTGGACTCTTTCACTTCACTCCCACCTCTCTCCCATCTCTTCCTCCCCTCTGCTGCAAGCCTTTTAAGGCTGCAAACAGACAGCATCGGTGAGTGTATGGCTGGAGAAAATAGAGCAATCCCAGACCTGCTATCCTTGCTATGGCTGAGAAATGACACAAGACAGTGTTACACCAGGGCCGATGTGGACATCAAAGGCAGGGCCAGGTTATAGCTGGCTTACTCTCTATCTGAGCCTTTTGATGTTACAGGGAGGTGATAGATGGAGCATTAGTTCTTGCAGTGCCGTACCGAAAGGTTTCTTCAATGTCTGAGCCTGACATTAGGCATTACTGCCTGATAAAGAGGCTCTGACTACATGCAATTAAGTTGTCTCTCAAATAAGCAGGGTTGTTGTAAAACTAATAGTTATGTTGATACCAACTGATGGCCATGTTCCAGATTTTGCTCTTCATTTGATAAAAAGGGCTGTCGTAAAACAATTAAATAAACGTCACAGCTGACTGACTGTGTAAATGTGTTGAGGAAATAGTGACATGCTGACTAAAAGCACGATGAATATCTTGTGTTTTAGTTCAAAAGGGCTGAAATGAGGCTATAAAGAGGGAAGGAAGGAAAAAGAACATGGCAGTTGGAGCTGGGGGTGTAGCCAAGTCAATCTCTGTGGCTCCATTTGGCCTTGATTTGGAGCTAATGAGCAGATGGAGAGGGTCACTAAGACTCAGGATAGCTCACTGCCGGGAGAGACACACGATACCTTTCTCTTCTCTCTAGTAATGAAACGGTACCCAACCATACAGACACACACACACACACACACACACACACATACTCACTCACACAGAGTCTATTATTCAACGGTCGGGAAGCAGTTGAAAAAGAGACTATTACAGGCACTGCTAAACACAGGTTGAAAGTTAAAGCTCTCCTCAGGTTACAATTTAAGATTTCCACCCGAGTCTGGCTGTGCAAAATTCTGCTAAAGACCACCTGAAAGCCTACACTTACAAAGATTGATACAACAGCTCCACTTACCAATGATATGAGTCTGTGAGAGAGCGACTACTCTAATGTGCGTGTGTGTGTTCTTTAATGACGGCTGACCTATAGATGCCTTCCACCATGATGAGGATCTTCTTCCAGGGCCTGTGGGTCCGTGGCTGCCCTGAGCAAACTGCCTCTCTTAGCATCTTCTCCAGACTGTGCATGTCTGACACACACACACACACACACACACACACACACACACACACACACACACACACACACACGCACGAAAAATAAAATTGTATTAAACACATAACCATGTTTGCAAGTGTAGTGTCGGCTTGTCATATGACATCACATGCAACTAAACACTTGATATGTAAAAAACAAATCCAGTGTATAAAGTGTAGAGTGTAGCACGAATCAGATCGTAGCTGGCAAGGAACTCCAACTAAAAGCACGTAGAATAACAATTCCCACAAGGCAGGGCAGTTCCCAGAGTACACATGGAACTAGTTTATTTGCAAGTAACACCTTCTACAATATGCACAGCAAATACCTCTGCATTCTGATGCAAATGAACACCTGCGATGTCTGTGTCAGGCAGGTTTACTAACTGAGCTAAATAGGGGTTTGGCCAAAGGTCTCTTCAGTGCAGTCTGCAGGGTTGCTTAAAATTAGGATTGAAATTTTGGCTTCAGCAAAATAACTTCCCCTTGGGGTTTAGAGTTTATAGCAGGCGGCACTATTACTGCTCCTCTGCCGCAAACCAGCAGATGGCAGTGTTGAATAGCTGTGGTTCATATAGCAGCAAAGTATGACCACCAACCAACCATTTTGAGCAGCGAGTGAACCTGTCACAGCTAATTATCTGTCATAGATGATCGATAACGCTCCCTCAGCACAAAAACAGGTTTACTGAAGAGGCAGCAGATGCTCTCCTGATAAAAACCACGACGGAGCACAACCAGTGTTTCCAACATCAACGTTCAGGAAACCAGACAGTGACAGAGACATCCACAGGGGTTTGTTGAGTGCACAGACAAGAATGAGAAAAAGATGATTTCACGGTTAAGCACTGATTTGAGATAAGCTCCAAGACTGTGCTGAGGGGGACGGTGAGTCTTTGCTTCGACACAAGAAACGTGCATACAGTTGTGGGTATCTACAAAATGTTATTATGTTATCTGTGCACTGACCCTCTGAGTGCACTACTGCTACTAGCATTATAGACAGATCCTAACCTCCCATCTATGGGATTATTTGAAAGAATAAGAATGACAACCTTCAAAATAAGCATCCTTCATCTATGACTATGTGAAGAATTTCCAACACGTGAGCCTCACAGTACTAGACTGGACAAACCGGTTCATGTGCTCTCTGGTATGAAATTCCAAATACACATTTCAAATTCCATAAATAAAGGATCTCTGATATTTAAGACAGAGGTTGCACCAATAAATGCATACATTGTTTAACTTATCTGTTGATGTGGCTGAGTTGATTGCTCTAGCCCGCTTAGTAAACATTGGCTTTGTACTAATAAAAGAGGGAATGACTGTATGGTGCTGGCGGTATTAAGGACGGAAGGAGTCAGCTACTCAGGTGCCTGAGGGCTCTTTGCCTGTACACAGGCCTCTGGGATCTGCTTGGAGGACCCATGGCTGACTCTGCTTGTACCTGTCAGGACGCATTTGTTGCCACAGGACTGGCTCGTTTGTCTGTCCCCTGAAAGAGCGGTGGATGTTTCCAATGTAAGCACGATGAATGTTGATGAAACAATTCTCCCTTATCTTATCTACTGACAATATATAACTGGATCATAAAATGGAGAGCATTTCGTTTAAGTAAGGTGACATTTTCATATAAAACAAACTTTGATTTCTGCTGCTCTTCTGCTCATGTCGTGACTGTGAACTGAACCCAAAGCTTTTACATTTGCTGCTCTAAACACAGAATGTTAAGTAGGTCTTTCCTAAGGCAAATCCTGTACCGCGCAGAAAGTAATGTGCTTCCCACAGCAGCAACAGTTTGGAGTGAATAGTAGCAAAACTAAATAATGTGAGCAGTGGTGGTGGCACAAACGAGAAATTCAAACTTCAACACATAATCTATGGCAAGGTCCATCCTAATGCCATATCACCAATGTTTGTTTGGCAGGAGCAATGAATGTTAAGCACCATGTTGGCAAACTGAAACAACACATTATGGCTTGAATAAAGCACACGTGTTGTTGTAAGGCAGAAGCACCATGACTTATGTTAGAACGAAAGAGTTACTGGACTTACTGTTGTGTTTGAACACCCGGATCGTTGCTCCTGACAGTCTGGCCCCTAAGATGAGAGATGTGTGATTGAGCTCATCGCTCAGTATCAAACCACCCTGGAAATCAGCACAGAGAAAAGATTGCGTTCGAATTCCCCCAAGAAAGAGATTCAATTCCAGTGTAATAGCTGAATCACATGCTCCTGCATTCTTAAAATCAAACCGCACAGTATTCCTGTATATACATTACACTGAGCATTTGGTAATAATCTTTGATTATCGATACGATGATGACATTTGCATAGACAGTGTAAGATGTTTCGAATTTAGTGGTCTATAAATTAGCTATCATCAGCATAACCGCATACAGATGAAAATCAGACAAGTGTGTGCTACCAACCTACAAAATCGGTTTTCTGCAAGACTGCATAATTTTCTATGTATTTTCCATATGTTTTGTTGCTTTGTACTGTGTCCTTGTGCAATTTGCTGTTCAATAGTTGTTGCTCTAAAAGGATCCTCGTGGCCAATTACATGTCAGCCCACTCCTCTCGCCCCGCTTACCATCCATGCCTCCATCATAATGCTCCATCTCTAGGTCCTTTGTGTACGATAATAATTGTATCTACTGCACATGTTGCCTGATGAAGTTTCGACCGACAGACACATCACAGTTTTTTCCTAATGAAGAGTATAGTGCTTCATATTCCATAAAAATCAGCATGCAAATTAATTCAGCTGTTCCACGAAATTCTCTCCAGAACATTAGCATATTCAACACTGAAGCTCTAAGCATTTGACTGCATTAGTTTGAATGAACTCTTGTAGAGGGTATGTTGACACCGTCTCAGCGATGGATACCCTCGGTTTGGCCTGGGGTCCAGCTGGCCTGGTCACTGGTCTACAAGCAGCTGTCACTCTAATGTAGCTCTGCCTGCACAGCCTGTCCCTGTAGGATAGAGTTGGCAGTGTGGGTTGACCCCCCCCCAGCCCCTGCAGGGTGACTACGGGGGCTGCAGCCTGAGGGGCTGCCGCACCTCTTGAGCTGCATAAACGAGCCCGTTCTCATCACTTAAAACCGCCGACCTCCCCTTCTTCCTGTCCGTTCCAATCACCGATATCCGCGCTGCGTGTTGCCCCTGGTAGCCCGTGGCTGTCTGTGTGAGCCAGGCTGGTGTGGCGACAGGCCACAGTATGGTTAATCAAACCCTGGAGTAGTGCTCTTGACAAAGCCTGCCCCTTCCTCGTCTATGTGACTGAAAGCAGCTATGTATGCCCAGAGCCTTATTCTCCTGGCTACTGGAATGTTTAATTATGATTTTAATTAATGGTGGGTGGGTCAGGAGTTGTTCGCAGCTGAGTTTAGTTGACTGTTATTCATTAATTTAGGCCATATGCAAGGAAGGAACAAAAGCTAGGCTAATTAGATTAATTTCTGCTGTGCTGTAAAAATGACACCCATATACAGTAGGACTTCCTATATTCTGTATGTGGCATTTAATGTGTTAAATCACAAACCTTGCCGATGATTGCTGGAATGTTCATTGAGTTGGTGGCAAAACCCATCCCAAAAATCATGGAGGACTCTACTCTGAGGAAATTGGCCACAAGTTTCTCCAGCTCTTCGTGGATGCTCAGGGTACCTACAAGACACAAATCACAGGGGGGTAACTCACCATGAAAAGATCACTGTACCTGCTGGTTTATCCGGTAGTCCTTTAGACTTTGTCTTTCTGTCATCTAGTCACAAGCCTTGACAGAGATGAAAGCCTTGTGATAAAAAGCAACAGGCCCACATGAAACAGCCTGGACCACGCAGCATCAGCCAGCAGCTCTCTGGGCATTTGAAAAGATTTATAAAAGACTCAAGATGTGGTAAATTTGTAATTTAGTTCAACTACCCTTTTTTTCATCCCAGGTAATATCGAAGCGAGTCAGGTCTAAAACGGTTCTGCGGCACAATTTGGGACTGAGGCAGCTGGTTATAACCCAATGTGGCAGGTGGGGACCAGAATTCATTTAGAGAATTTATCACATTGTTATCTGTCACCCGACATGATGTTTTTCTATTTTGAGCAATAAAAATGGGATTTTTGGGTGCTTTCGGTACTGCCCCTGTGACCAGCTGATAAAAAAGAATTACTGGTATAATTGTGAGTTACAGGGAGAGAGGTAGGCAGTGAAAGAGGTTTAATGGTAGAGTACATCACTACTTTGAAGGTAAAATTGCCAACATCACAGCAGAACACGATAAAAAACGGTCAGTAAAAAGATGTCTATTAAACATTTATATATAGCGCTACAAGAAAACACTACAAGATGAAATAACTTACCGTCAAAGTAAATAAAAACGAAGCTGGTTTTGAGATGTTGTGATGTCATTAGGGCAATCCTCATAAGGATATACTAGTGCATACATTTTTATATACATGGGATACTAATAATTCAATGATTATTAAAAAGTTCACAGACTGAATGTCTCAGGAAGGAGTGGAAAATGTGTATTAAGATATGTGTATAAAACAATAACACAGTGAAGCAGCTCTGTCTTTATACCAGACAAATCGATTCATACATTTCCTCAACCACTCAGGCTCACATTCCCTGCTGGCATGTGCGCATTTTTGATCAGACCGCATCGGCATTTGCTCTCGACATAGAACATTGTACACGAGGTCTGGAAGCTCTGCAGGTGAGAGAGTCCTTATTAGATCTCACACACTCGCGGATTTGAGTCAGCTCTTGTGTCATATGCATCTCAATAAGCTTGGTCCCCTCTCCCTGAATTACCAAGGTCACCTCTCTGCCGTCACAATCATCAAGCTGTACAACAATCTGCAAGGTTGGAGAGCATTGCTGTGGAGGGACAATAAAGATTGTGCTTGCAAAACACCAAGCTAAATCCATCTCTTTGATTGTAAACCTGTGACTAAAGTTACTCTTCAAAAGGCTTTACAACAAGAGAAGAAAAAACAAAACACGCCTGGATGAGTTAATCATTTCTATCACCTATGTCGATTGGACCCTCAGCAGACAAGTACAGCGTTTATGGCTTGTCCTTAACTCCTGTACATACAAAACAGCGCTATTATATTAATTTATTAATGTACACATAATGGTGAAATACTTACTACTATGTGCTTGGTAGCTGCACACTTAGTGTGTTTTGGTAATTTGTCATTCATTTGAATGCATGACTTCATTAGAGAATATGCTGTATGTTAATGATTGCAGGAGAAGCTGGACCAGTGAGCTATCCATTAATACAAATCTTTGAATGTTTGACATGTTAGTGTATTTACGGGGGGGGGGGGTCATCTGTCATTCAAACCCAGCGAGGCCTTCACATTAACTAGGCTCCTGGACTGTGTCAATGCCATCAGAGGCTGGACGGCAGAAAACTGCTTACAACTCAACGACAGTAAGACGGAGGTTCTAGTTATTTTCGCCAGATGAGTTTGTCCCTATGATCAGGCAGAGTATTGGTCCACTCTCCTCTGCTGCCCATTGCAACCTGCGCAATCTAGGGATTGTCTTTGATCGATCCATGTTGTTTGACCCCCATGTTAAGCAGCTGTCCAGATCATGTTTCTTCCACCTAAGAAATATCAGTAAGCTGAGATCTGTAGTATCAACACCTGAACTAGAGATGATCATACACACATTTATCTCTTCAGGCATTGACTACTGTAACACACTTTTCTCATCACTCAGTGTATCTGCTCTTAACCGTTTGCAGGTCATCCAAAACGCTGCCGTCAGATTACTCACCAGGACAAATCGACGGTCTCACATCACCCCCGTACTCGGATCTCTCCACTGGCTCCCTGTAGCTTTTAGGATACACTTTAAAATGCTCACTCTCATTTACAGAGCACTACACGGTCAGACTCCTACGTAGCTGATCTACAGTACTTCGCCCCTATTCACCCCTATTCTGTCTGTCCCACGCACTCGCCTTAAGACCCGTGGTGACCGAGCTTTTGAGGCAGTAGCACCGAGGCTGTGGAATGCTCTGCCTGCACCTCTACGCCTTGCAGATTCTGTGAACACTTTCAGAAACCAGCTGAAAACGCGCCTCTTTAGACTGGCGTTTGGGTAAAACCCATGACCTAGACCTGCTTTTAAACCATGTTTTAATTTTGTATTTTCTGTGTGTATGTAAATTATTGGCCCTGTGGTCACATTGTGATTTTTATGCTTGTAATTTCTGCCCTGTTAAGCACTTTGTGACTTTTGTCTGTGAAAAGCGCTTTATAAATACATTTTACTTACTTACTTACTTTAATAATTGATGCTTAATAAGGTCTCAAGGGAGAACTGCATGTTGTTCCTTAACCCTCACAGTGAGCCAGCAGAAACATGGATTACAAACCCAGGGAAAAACAGTCCCACTTTAAAAGAGAAATAAAAATATCAATAAATCATGAATAATGGATGGTGCGGAGGAGTCTGTGTGTGTGTGTGGGGGGGGGGGGGGTACTTGCACTCTGACAAACAAATGTATAACTAACCCTCACATGCCCTTTAATTCCTCTGGTCTTCTCTGTTCTTGTCAAACTGCTGATATCATGAAACACGAGGCAGCCACTCAACCCGCTCTGAGCTTTTTATGTCAGCTCGCTGCATTCCTGCTCTCAGTAGATACACAGCACGGTGGTGTCATAAACTCAACATCATCGACAGTAAGAAAAGGAACTACCTTTTCCCAAGTCAACTTTTTGGCCTGTTCTGTGAGCTCCATTGTGTTTACCCAATGGCATGTTTTCACCAATAAACAGCTGACTCAGCCGATCATCAGATTTCACTGCCACATCATTGCTGTGCCGTAACATGAGATCCTGGCGCACGCAGGCACTTGAACACCATCGGAAGCGGGAGGATAAAACACTATTCAAAATTCATCTGAAGCCATACAGTGCCCTCCAGAATTATTGGCACCCTTTGATAAAAATGAGTAAAACAGGCTGTGAAAAAAATTCTTTGCTGTTTATCCTCTTGGTCTTTCACTCAAAATATTCACAAAAATGTTACCTTTTCATTGAAGTAAAACTATTGAAAAAAAAAAAAAATGTTGACATTAAACAAATATTTTTCTCTAAAACATGTGTGCCACAATTATTGGCACCCCTAGAACATCTCATGATTAAACTCTAACTGAAGTATAATTCCAGTCATATTTTACATTTTTAAGTTCACCTGTTTGATTAGGAACTCTTAAGTGGTCAACCATGACTTCCTGTTTCACTGGGGTATACGTAAATATGAGGTGACACAGGCCAAATTTCCTTAGTCATTCATCACCATGGGAAAGACCCGAGAACACAGTGACGATGTGCGACGAAAAGTTGTTGAGCTGCACAAATCAGCAGTTGAAAATACCCAGTTGAAAATACCCATTTCCACTTTCAGGGCAATAATTAAGAAGTTTAAAGCGACGGGAGATGTTATGAATCAGCCTGGAAGAGGACCTGTGTGTACATTGACCCCACGCATCATGAGGAGGATGGTTCGACTGGCAAAAGAATCTCCAAGGATCACAGCTGGAGAATTGCAGAGGTTATTGAGTCTTGGGGTCAGAAAGTCTCCAAAACTACCATCTACATCACCATAACTTGTTTGGGAGGGTTGCCAGGAAAAAGCCTCTGCTGTCAATCAACAACAAACTAAAGTGCCTACAGTTTGCCAAACGTTACTGGGACTTTCAATGGGACTAGGTTATATGGTCAGATGAGACCAAAATAGAGCTTTTTGGCAACAAACATCAAAGGTGGGTTTGGCATAGACAGAAAGATAGCCACACAGAGAAGCACCTCATACCCATTGTGAAGTATGGTGGCGGATCTTTGATGTTGTGGGGCTGTTTTTCTTCCAAAGGCCCTGGACATCTTGTTAGGATACATGGTATCATGGACTGCATCAAATACCAGCAGATATTAAATGAAAACCTCACAGCCTCTGCCAGGAAGCTTAAAATGGGCCGTGGTTGGACCTTCCAGCAGAACAATGATCCGAAGCACACCTCAAAATCTACACAAAAATGGTTCACCGACCACAGAATAAAGGTTTTGCCATTGCCATCACAGTCCCCCGACCTAAACCCCATAGCAAATCTGTGGGATGAGCTGAAGACGAGAGTCCACAAGCGTCAACCTCGGAATCTGAAGAGATTCTGCATGGAGGAATGGTCTCAGATCCATCATGTGTTCACCAACCTCATCACGCATTATAGGAGAAGACTCAGAGCTGTTATCTTGGCAAAGGGAGGCTGCACAAAATATTAAATGAAGGGGTGCCAATAATTGTGGCACATATATTTTTGAGAAAACTATTTGTTTCAGGATAAGAATTTAATGTTTCTTTCAATTATGTTACTTCAGTTAAAGGTTAGATTTTTGTGAATATTTTGAATGAAAGATCAGGAGGATAAACAATAAAGACATTTTTTCACAGCCTGTTTTGCTCATTTTTATCAAAGGGTGCCAATAATTCTGGAGGGCACTATAGATCCCACTTCCATCTGATCCTTTGCTGTTCTATCACTTCCACCAATCCATCAACTTTAACTGCTTATCCTGTTCAGGGTCGCGGGGGGGGGGGCTGGAGCCGATCCCAGCTGACATTGGGCGAAGGCAGGGTACACCCTGGACAGACTATCGCAGGGCTGACATATACAGACAACCATTCACACCTACAGGTCATTTCTCTCACTTCAATCACATAATATTCCTTCTGCATCATTCCTAATGGCCAGGGTGTTTCATGGTATTACATCCCACTGTGGTTTTAATTTTCCCCACTCCTCAGTATGGACCAGTATGTAATGATCCCAGCTTGTGTCCAAACGGTACATAATTCAACAAAGGTTGAATAATTTAAATTCCACTGCAACCACTGAAAGATAATCAAACATGCGGGCAGTAAAACTGACGAGAAATATAATAAATTATGGCATGTGTAATGAGGGCGATGGAGTTTCATTACCAGTTTAATACTCAACCCAGTCAGTGTCATCAGGGTCTGCTAGAGACTTTTAAAAATAGATGCACATGTAAGAAATGTGAAGCCCTGCAAGATGAAGTGAAAGAGACACCGCCGTATGCTCTTTTAACTTGAATTATGAGGTGGATCTTACTTTGCTCAAGATAAAATGAATGCCCTTATTGAAACTAGCTTAACAGAACAAATGCCACAAGTTTTGTTTTTATCTGTACAACTGCACGTTGACCACAAACTCACCTATTTCCTGCCTTGTGCTGCAAACCCCGACCCCATAGTGCAGCGTTTTGTCCGCCACTGTTTTCAGGAAGTCAGCGTTGTTCTCAGCAAAACCGAGGTAGTTGTAGGAGCCCATGTTGATGGCATTGTGTATTGTCCTCCCGGTTAACCTGCAAGCATGTTAACACCAGGCATCGTTCAGCCTGTCTCCTTTGATTTCCACACACAGGCAGAGAATTAAATTACATAGTATGAAAAGTAATCAACATTCAATTAAACATAATTGCTAATCATAAACTTGTTTCCTTGTCAGTGGAGTTCAGTTCATTAAGGGGGCAATTATAATACTGTTTATATAAGCATCAGTGACTGCGTGTGTAAGCAGCATTTGTTAATCATTTTCCCTTGGACAGCTTTGAGTATATAATCACACATTCAAGTCATTATGCTGCACACGTGTACCTCAGCAGGGAATAAACTAGGAAAAGGGGGAAGTTGTGCGAGTGTCATAATCCTTTTGCAATAAGGCAAGTTAAGGAAAGTTCACATGGTCAGTCAAGAGTGCAGCCTTACTGTATGTACATCAGCATCAGAGTTTAAAAGAAATTGTAGGAAAACTGCTCCATTTCATCAACTGACTCCCATGTAAACCTGCACATAACTAAGTCCTACATCCTCACGTCTCTTTGCCCAACCACCACAAGCCGAGTAGCTGACTGCACCATTTCTACTCTTTCCAGTCACGTTAAACCTCTTAATACGTGTAATCCACGCCTACCCCTTTTTCCCTGATTCATAATGTCATATCCCCTCCCCGTGGCTCTGTTCATATTCCTCTTCATAATATATTGCCTGACCCTGCTGTGCAACACAGAGGCATCTTAACTGTATCCAAAAAATCCAGGGCTGACATATCCTTCTGATGAGGTACACCCATGTGCTTTAGTTATTATCTCTCCCCACTAGCTCAGAGAGCTGGAGCTTGATTTAGCCAATTAAATCCTGGTTATATAGTATTTAGCCACAGAGGAGGGATGTTTATGTTCATACTTGCTGGCCTGCATTAAACTGGAAAAATATTCATATGCAGCAAATGTAAATATGATTATGAGCCTACAGTACGTCTAATCTGCAGTATGTCTTTCATCATAAATGACTGGATCAAAGCACCTGAATGTCCAGTTGTAGTCATCAGACACCCTCTCCATCAAGTCGAAGACAGGTCCTGGCAGGCTGCATATGGGACGGTTCCAGCTGTCTCGTACCCTCATGTACAGGTTTCGAGTGTAAAAGTTCTCAAAATCTTGATAAAGAGGTACGAAATCCTGAGAGCAGAGAACACACATTTTCAGCAGCGCTTCCTAGTAAGCAAGTAGCAGGATGTCACGGAGTGGTTCAACAATAAGAGTTAGGTTTTTTCTAAAAAACAAAACAAAGGATTCTGCCCATTCTTTATAGTATATAGAGGTGGCTTTTTTCACTCAGTGGCTTTAGCATTAACAAGAAAAAAACCAAACTTTGCCACGTTGAACTTGAAGCTATACAAATTGAGATTTAAAAGCAGACCATCATTGTTTCCTTCAGTTTTGTGTCTGTATACATTTCCTGACACATCCTCAGTCTGAACATATGCTGTCGGGTAAGTGAAGGTTCTTCTATATAGTAAATGATTTGTGCTTGACGCGCTAACTCTTTAAGACCACACAGGTGTTCACATTATTAGGTCTAGCTTTGTACTAAAGCTGACATTTGTAATTACCTTAGAAACATTCAAACCATCTTTTCAGGTTTTACCTTGGTAGGAGCGTTACATCTAGACTAGTGTGGCCTTTACATGAACTGTATGTTTTCATACACAGTAATCTCTGCTAGTGTTTACCAGGATAATTTGAGCCTTTGCTTTCATTAGCCCCCTTTGTATTCCACAATTATGACAGAGCCCACATACAGTAAAGCTCTTCTTCCATTTATTGCAGTGTAAATGATTGCCCTGGTTATTCCTTGTAGACACAGATGTCTCTGCCTATGGACATACTCAGCTTTTGTCTTCGGTGTTTTTTAATACGAGTGACACAAAATAAACCATTAACTACTACCGGCTTAACTTAACTGTGATTTTTGGATTTAGAATCTATGGTAATACAATGGCTCCTATGTGGCCTTATCTTGAAACTAAAGCACAGTTACGAAAAAAGAAGCAGAATCCTCTGAGATTTAATTAGGTATTCAACAGATATTCTCTGTGGTGTCCTATCTCACCCATGGCAACATTATAGTGCAGAGGAACATGAAGGAAGGAGGCAGAGAGAGGGCTTAAGAGCAAAAATTGAAATAATTAGGGGAACACAAAATGTGTTGACACCCAAGGCATGCCTGCTCTTCTATTCCAACTGTCTGGGTGCATGTGTGCCTCTACAGTATGTGTGTGTATGCCTGCAATATGCCTATGTTTGTGCTGATAGCACGTTTTACCTACCTTCTGTTCCTCTCTTTCCTGGGCAAGGTTGCACTTCTCTAAGCCCACAGCTCTCAGGAAATCTCTGAAGTAGCCAAACAGCGTGACAATGCCGAAGCCCAGGTATGTCATGACAGCCACGTACATCGGGGCCTGTTCAACGGACTCCTGCTTGTGCTGCCTGGAGGCGACACCAGTCCCTGGGCCATTTTTCTATACAGCAAGAGACCCACATAAGCTGACTTACATTGCAGAGAGAACTATACTATTTGAATTTAAGTGGCTGTAGTTAACACACTAATTAACCTAAATTAAGAGGAGACAGAGACTGGTGCACAGAAGTCACAACACATATTATTCAACACTAAAGCAAGCAAACTGGAGTAATGTTATCGATACATTTCCACAAAGGGATACATTTGTAGACACGCTAATTGCGTGTATATAAACCCACATAAGGGTGCCCACATATGTGCTCGATGGAGCCAATTTGGGCTCAAAACATTTCTCTGCAAGTAAATCGATAAAGTCAAAAATGTTTATATAGGAGTAGGCCTATGGTGTTTGGGAAGCAGGTACCACCATATTAACTAACAAGATGACAAATATGAACGCCGTTTTATGAATGACAATAGAAGTCTTTATTCAACATTGTTTGGCACCACCAAGGAAATGCGTCACTTCCGGCTACCATCTGTGTCTGGTTTAACAGTCAGGCCTCTGATATCGAATTAAAATTGTGTTCTTTGTGCAATGGACTGAATATTATTATTATTTTTAAAAAGTTTGTGCAGAATACTCTTAGAGGATTGTGTTAGCGTGATACCTTTTAGTAGAGGTGTTGGTGAATGCTAGCTTTTACTAAAACTGATGCTATCTGTCATATCAAGCTCGATGTTGCATAACAAGTTGCATAAATCCTTCAACTGGGTGTCAGGCATTAAAAGTATTAAAAAAAACGTACAAACTTAAGTTGTTGAAGTAAATGAAGCAATTACAGGTGGTGTATACATTCTTAATCAAAGCTAGTGGACATTGCATGATACAAAATAACATTAACACCTTGTAACAAATATAAAGGTTACTATAATTAAACATATAACGTTACATAAATTCAGGAGAACAGACGCAAACAAACCAGGTGAATTATTTGTAACATCAGTAACACACCCACATTACGCAAAGGCTGCAATGTCATTTCCGGTCCCAAAAATATAAAGGAAAACATCGGGAACCCCACTTATCCAGCCGAGCAGCAGGAAAACCTGTTTCAGTGAATGGGAAGCATTCCAGGGCGCGGTCGTTCGTTCATTTATCGCTGTCTACTTTGTCCTGCTTAGTAACTAACAAGTCCTTTGTAAAAAAAGAGCAACAGCATGCGAGTCATATTACAGTTAACGCTAGTTTAAAATACGGAAACATGCAACTGTGTGTATGCATAACTTCAGATAACTAACGTTATGTCACGACTCTATTAACCTCAAGTTATTGATACCGTAAGACGTTTCTACTGCCAAAGACAGCCCAACTAGTAATGACGAGGATTGAGTTGTTGGTTTCAGGTAAAAAGCAGCGATTAACTCAATAGTTGCTCAGATTCGAGACTATATCTCTCCCACAAAATGGTAAAGTACCTGACTCCATGCGGGAACCTTAATAAAGCAGGTGCACGAAATAAATGGCTCACAAATGCATGTGTGCAAGTAAACCCAGCCGCTGACGGACGTACGTGTCTCCTGTGGTGAAAGCCATTTCTCTTGATATCGTCGCATTTCAGTCCATTCAGGCTCAGATGCGGCACGTTGCTGTTAGACGCAGTTATTGCCATGTTCCTGAACGCGCGGCGTTGGCGGTCTCCTCAGTCGCACTGTCAGGTGCGCTTCACTCAACTCACAAAGGTGACTTCCTCATTCTGTTGCCTCGGTTCAGCCTCTCATGCACTGTTGCTGTGTTTGAACCTCGCTTCTCCAAAAAAAGTCGAACCTCAACTTCAACTATTGTTTCGATGTCCTGTAAATGGGCCAACACTCTCTCTTCTCCTTTTATCCAAAATTAAACTTGCTAAACTTATTATGTAGATTGAGTTTTTCAATATATATATATATATTTTTAAATATATAAGTGTATATGTGTATATATATCTATATATAGATATATATAGATATATATCTATAT